CCTCTGGATGATGATGTTATGGCGGTTGTTGAAGAACTTCAGAGACGATTGCCTTTGGCCATCGGCCGAGGGGAAGGAGAAGAGGAAGAGTTTGAAGTTGGAACAAGTGAACAAACTGGTTAGATTACTTCAAACTACAACTTTTGATTATTAGCTATAAAAACGTGCTTGTAGGTATAGTTTGTAGATATATTAAGGTATCTAAGCTTGATTTTAGGCTTTCGACTAACACTGAAAGCTTTAAAGAGAAGCTCAGAGTCACTTATTTTCTTCCTTTTTCTTCAAAAGCTATCCTAAATAATTAAACTCTGTGTATAGCTGGTGTTGAAGAAGAATTTCCATTTGAGTTCCGAGCTTTAGAAGTAGCGTTAGAAGGAGTCTGTAGCTCTCTCGATGCTCAAACTAGAGAGTTGGAAGTTGATGCTTACCCGGCTTTAGATGACCTCACTGCAAAGGTAAATTAATTAATGAGTTAATTTAATTAGGACTTGCTTTTGAATATGTTTCATGCAATTTCTTTCATTCTTTTTTCTCTAATGGTCCCACAAAGTTTGTACTAATTTAGACCAGCAGTCGAAACTTGGACCGTGTGCGTAAAATGAAGAGCGCTATGACTCGGTTGATAAGTCGGGTTCAAAAGGTATGTTCTTAATTTCCATTTCCTCTGTAAAAGTTATATAGTTAAATATAAGAAGGAATAGAACAATTTGAGATGGTGAACATCAAGTTTCTTTCTACAAAAAAATATCTTCACTGAAAAAATTATATTATAATTTTGTAAATTATGTTTGATTGACATAAATTTGTATTTTTTGTTTTCATTGACAAGTAAAAACACACTCATGTGTACAGGTAAGGGATGAACTGGAACAACTTCTGGACGATGATGATGACATGGCGGATCTGTATCTCTCGAGAAAATCCGCCATGTCAGCTTCCATCTCGAGTGGTTACAGACGTGACAGGTGGCAGCTGGCGGCAGATGAATCTCCATTAACAAGCTCAAA